AACTAAAGAATTGAATGAAAGTTATAAAATAATAACTGCTGTTTTTCATATAAAAATTTGACATTTTTGAAGCAGCGTTGTTCCATTGCTCGACGCGATCTGAATTCTCTCCCTCTTATCAGTGGATCGATCTACTATTCTCTCGTTTTCCAGATCCATCCACACCACCAGATCTCGTTAACTTGCTCGCAGCCGCAGCCCCAAGGTAAGTTCGATAACCCCTCCTTCTGCACGATTACTCAAGCCCTAGCTTCTTTACACTTCAGGCGACTCTCATTCTCATCCTAAAATTGTTGTTGAAAATGTCATTTCTTTGTGATCGGCCTGGATGCAATCTGGTTTTCTCAGAATTAACTTAGGGGTTTTATTGCATTTTCTCAACTTTGTTTGTGCATTTCTGAATTTGGCGATCTGAAGTGCTTAAAATAGGATCTGTTCTTAATTTACTATTTCAGTTTGATAAAATTGGTGTGCAGTGTTGAATTCACTAATCGATGTATCTCGTTCGTTGTCAACTTGTTCACTTGCTGAATTTGTTATCTTACAAGACTTTATACGAGAAGCTGTGTTTTCAGAATGACAGATCTAATAGATGTTCGATTAAATTTTAGATTTTTTTTTACTATTTGGTCTGAATCTAACCCTTGTATCTCACGACTCTGGATCCCTCGACCTGAAGATTATTTATATGGGTTTGGTACAATTGAGGATCGTCGATTTAAGCGTGGATGTGTAATTTGGATATATGACCCTGTAATTGTGATAGCGTCTAATGATAAACCTTTGTGATAACTTTCAATGTGCTTTTTGGAAATCATGGGAAGTAGCAGGTTGCCCACTGGGTTAGAACTTAGAAGGACTCAATCTTAAAGAACCTCTAGGTTATTTGGAGGAAATTGCAACCAGTTTTACAAGCTGAAAAGGGATATAACCCTGCAATTTCATTGAAAACCCTATGTTCTATTGATCGCTAGATTATGGATCTCATACAATTTGTCTGGATGATATCTTTTGTGTGACTATCACACTAGTTATACTTCATAACTAGTTAACTACTCATGCTGTTATCTGCTTCCACACATACAAAGAAATAGATCTGTGTATGAACTTTAACTTTCTTGTATCTAATTACAGTAAATATGATGGTGTGTATAACATGGAGTTTGAATACATGATTTTAGGAGTATTCCGTTTAGAATTTTTGTAATTGAATGTTGTTTCTGCACTAAAGAAGGAAAAAAGATCTCAACTTTAGATCTAACTCCTAAAAGTTTTCTTCTTTATTCCAGAAGCCATGGAGAAAACATGCTCACTACTTGTCCATTTTGACAAAGGGACACCTGCACTTGCAAACGAGATCAAAGAGGCTCTTGAAGGCAATGATGATGCTGCAAAGATTGATGCCATGAAAAAAGCAGTCATGCTTTTGCTAAATGGGGAAACACTCCCACAACTTTTCATCACAATTGTTCGATATGTTCTTCCTTCTGAAGACCACACTGTTCAAAAGCTACTCCTTCTTTATCTAGAAATCATCGACAAAACAGATTCAAAAGGAAAGATCTTACCTGAAATGATCTTAATTTGCCAAAACTTAAGAAACAATCTCCAACATCCCAATGAATACATCCGTGGGGTCACTCTAAGGTTTCTTTGTCGCCTCAATGAGACAGAAATTATCGAGCCCTTAATCCCATCTATTCTAGCTAATCTAGAACACAGGCATCCATTCATAAGAAGAAATGCTATACTTGCTGTAATGGCTATTTACAAGCTTCCACAAGGGGATCAGCTTTTAGTTGATGCTCCAGAAATGATTGAAAAAGTCCTCTCAACAGAAGCAGATCAATCAGCCAAAAGGAACGCGTTTCTTATGCTGTTCACATGTGCTCAAGAACGTGCAGTAAATTACCTTTTAACCCATGTGGAAAGAGTAGCTGAATGGGGTGAATTGCTTCAAATGGTGGTGTTGGAGTTGATACGTAAAGTCTGCAGAGCTAACAAGGGCGAAAAGGGAAAATACATCAAGATTATCATATCTTTATTAACTGTTCCTTCTGCTGCAGTTATCTACGAATGTGCAGGGACATTAGTGTCATTATCCTCTGCCCCTACTGCTATTCGTGCAGCTGCTAATACCTATTGTCAACTCCTCCAATCTCAAAGTGACAACAATGTGAAACTCATTGTTCTTGATCGATTAAACGAATTGAAATCTTCTCATCGTGAGATCATGGTTGAAATGATAATGGATGTTCTTAGAGCACTTTCAAGCCCTAATCATGACATTCGAAGAAAAACCCTAGATATTGTTCTTGATTTGATCACTCCACGTAACATCAATGAAGTTGTTCTCACTTTAAAGAAAGAAGTTGTCAAAACCCAAAGTGGAGAATTGGAAAAAGATGGAGAATATCGCCAGATGTTAATCCAAGCTATTCATTCATGTGCTATAAAGTTTCCAGAAGTTGCATCCACAGTTGTGCATCTGTTAATGGATTTCTTGGGTGATAGTAATGTTGCTTCAGCAATGGATGTAGCTGTTTTTGTAAGAGAAATAATCGAAACAAATCCAAAATTAAGAGTTTCAATTATCACAAGGCTGTTGGATACTTTCTATCAGATAAGATCTGCACGTGTTTGTTCTTGTGCTCTTTGGATCATAAGTGAATACTGTCTTTCATTATCAGAAGTTGAAAGTGGGATTTCAACTATAAAACAATGCCTTGGAGAGCTTCCGTTTTATTCAGCTTCTGAGGAAGGAGAAAACAACGATTCTTCAAAGAAAAGTCAACAAGTCAACTCAATCACCGTTTCCTCCAAAAGGCCAGCTATTCTTGCTGATGGGACTTATGCAACTCAAAGTGCAGCTTCTGAAACTGCTTTTTCACCTCCAACTGTTGTTCAAGGGACTTTGACTTCTGGGAATTTAAGGTCACTTCTGTTGACTGGTGATTTTTTTCTTGGAGCTGTTGTGGCATGTACTTTGACTAAACTTGTGTTGCGATTGGCTGAGGTTCAACCTTTGAAGAGTGAAGTGAATAGGGCTTCAACTCAAGTTTTGTTGATTGTTGTGTCAATGATTCAACTTGGGCAATCTTCATTTTTGCCACATCCTATTGATAATGATTCTTATGATAGGATTGTTGTTTGTATAAGGTTGTTGTGTAATCCAGGTGAAGAGATTAAGAAAATATGGCTGCAGTCATGTCGTGAAAGTTTTGTTCAAATGCTTGCTGATAAACAGATGAGGGAAACTGAGGAATTGAAAGCTAAGGCTCAGGTGTCACATGCACAACCTGATGATTTGATTGATTTTTATCATCTGAAGAGCAGGAAGGTAAAAGATTATTCTTTCCATTTATTGTTTTTCTTTATGTTATTTTCATTTTCAACTTATTTTATATATTTTACCAGATCTATATTCCTTGTTTCTTTTTTGTTAAATTGTTATCTGGATAAATGATGTCTACCCGAAAGAGGTGTTATTTGAAATTTGAACATATGTTTTTTTTCATGGTTTGAATGAAAAGTCAATAAAAGTAAATACTGGATTAAAAGTTATTATTTGATTAGTGTTCTAGATGTTAATTCTAGGGGTTTTATGCAGAAAAGTCCCATTATTTTGGGAAAATTTTTCGGCAAAGTCCTAAATCTTTTTTTTTTGAACAGAAAAGTCCCATTATTTTGGGAAAATCACATAATCTGTCATTTCCTGTTAAAATAAAAAAGGATTTTTTCGTTAATTTGGGCAAAATGTTAAATAATCGGATTTTTCTGTTAAAAAAGAAGATTTAGGACTTTATCAATTTTTTTTTTCCAAAATAATGGGACTTTTCTGCATAAAACCCTTAATTCTAGGGTTAATATCATAAAAGACCTTATACATATTGGGTTTTCTCCGGATTAAACCTCAAACTTTATTTTTTTTCCCGAAAAGACCTTGCATTTTTTCATTTTCTTTTCCAAAAAAAAGCTCAACCTTTTAATTTTTATTAAAAACCTTCAACTTTTTATTAATTTTTCGAAACACCCTCAGATTTGACAAGTTGCTAAAACTAAAAGGGCCAAATTGGAAAAAAAGGAAAAATACAAGGTATTTTTCACGAAAAAAACAAAGTTGAGGTTTAATCCGAAAAAACACAATATACAAGGTCCTTTATGATATTAACCCTTAATTCTAAAAAATAACAAAAACAAATACATGAAATACTTGACTTAAAATATCTGATATAACTACATAAGTAACAGTATATAAAATATAAATTCTTGAATATTTGATATCAAAACATATTTTTAATATCAAATAGGAATAAACAAATTGACTATATAAGAAAACTCTACCAATTTACCAAAATCAAAGGTGAAACTCAGACCTATTACTTTAATGTGTAATAAATAGTAACTAATGGAACACTTAAATAATTTATAACTGAAAGTACATTGCTATTTCTTATAGGGAATGAGCCAACTGGAATTAGAGGATGAGGTTCAAGATGATCTAAAACGTGCAACAGGAGAATTCATCAAAGAAGGAGATGCTGCAAACAAACTCAACCGAATCCTCCAACTCACTGGATTCAGTGATCCAGTTTATGCTGAAGCATATGTCACTGTTAACCACTATGACATTGTCCTTGATGTAACTGTCATCAACAGAACCAAAGAAACCCTTCAGAACCTCTGTCTAGAATTGGCAACAATGGGCGACCTTAAACTCGTGGAACGCCCCCAAAATTACACCCTCGCCCCTGAGTCCAGCAAGCAGATCAAAGCAAACATTAAAGTGTCGTCAACTGAGACCGGGGTTATTTTCGGAAACATCGTTTACGAAACTTCAAATGTCATGGAACGCACTGTTATTGTTCTCAATGATATTCATATTGATATTATGGATTATATTTCTCCTGCTGTTTGTAGTGATGCTGCTTTTAGAACAATGTGGGCTGAGTTTGAGTGGGAAAACAAGGTATCTATCTATCTATCAATCAATCAATCACTTTCATATTATTTATTTATTTATTTAATAGAGCTCACATTTTTTTTTTTTTTTTTTAAATAGGTTGCTGTGAACACTGTGATTCAAGATGAGAAAGAATTTCTCGATCATATTATTAAATCCACAAACATGAAGTGCCTCACTGCTCCGTAAGTTGTCCGTTTCTTTATTTTTAAATACAAGAAATAGCAATGTACTTTCGTTGACTTGTTTGACTTTTCAAAAAGATTGAAAGTAGATTGCTATTTCTTGTATTATGTGATGATGAATTTGGTGATTACTAGGTCTGCACTGGAAGGCGATTGTGGGTTTCTGGCTGCTAACTTGTACGCGAAAAGTGTGTTTGGGGAGGACGCTTTGGTAAATTTGAGCATTGAGAAGCAAGGAGATGGGAAACTAAGTGGATATATTCGTATAAGGAGCAAAACCCAAGGGATTGCTTTAAGTTTGGGGGACAAAATTACCCTTAAGCAGAAGGGAGGCGCATAATTGCTTGGTATAACTACAACCTACAACTTACTTTTCCATTTCATTTTAGTTTTTAAAAAAATATTTATTTATTTATTATTTTTTTCTTTAGGATGTTACATAGAAGAATACAGGAGAAGAATAAGGGAAGGTTTTTGGAATTGGAGTTTGTTTAAATGAGGTGATTGCTAGTTGTTGTGCTTCGGATCATTGCAGTTGTAGATTCCCCCGTTATTGGTTACAAATTTTATCACTTCCTTTAATTTGGTTATATGCTTTTACTATTACTATTATTATACAATTTTTTGTTTGATGTAAGAAATTTATATACTCATATATAATTAGTTGTTTGTGCACTATCATTGTTTGTATTGTGTTTGACATGCATTAGACTCAAACTAATACCCCAAAAGGTGGGACAAAATAGGAACACCGGCTCACTCTTGATTTTTTATTCGTGCAAAAGACGTAAATACCCCTCATTGGGAATATTGTACTGTATATCATCTAGCATGATAAATCTTAATGCTGTATGTTTTTAGGGGTGACTTTCATACCCATTTGATAATAGCATAAGATCTTAGACATTGGTTTTTTGATCAAACGGTTTAGATTTAAGTTATATGGTTTAACAATAAACTTTGGTTCAGGTTTTGTGTAAAACCTGACTATATTTTTATATTAAGATTTGTACTTATAATGGAAGCTTTTAAGGAAAGTGAAAGTGATTGGTTTTGAATTTTAAGCTTTAGGACTTTTTCTAGTGTATACGACAAAATACTAAGTTAATGAAAAAGAAAACGCTAAAAGAGAAACCAAATTTGAAGATGTTTAACACCATCGATATGTGAATTCGATACATGTTAGTAGTAACCTGATTTGTAAACTACTTTTTAGAAATTATTTGTTGCGTACGTGTTGCCAAAAATGCTTATGTTATTACCAATAGAGGTGCATATTGTTGAGTGAAAGGGGTTAATAAAAGAAGCAATAAAGTCCCTATTGTTAACGACTAATTGTAGATGACTAAGGCTAGGGGTGAGCAAAAACCGCACCGCAACTAAAATTAACCGCAAAAACCGCATAAACCGCAACCGCAATAAAAACTGATGGTGAGGTTTTCTGTTTTTCAAAAACCGCAAATTTGCGGTGCGGTGCGGTTATTAGTTTTCAAAAAACCGCACCGCGCCGCATATATTATATACGATTTTTTTTATTAATTATTAATATATTAATTATTAAAAATAAGACAAGTTTCATGGATGAAAGATTGATAAAATACTAGAAAACAAAAGTGTTGGTTTTTTGTGATGTTTAATTTTGAAAAAGAGTGAAATTAGACAATTTTAAGATATTTATTGTTAATTACTATTATTTGACGTTTTTAAGATATTAGTTGTTTGTGATTTAAGTTAATTGTCTTATACCTTATGATTTTTTGTATTATTACAAGTAATATGTTTGAACTCTTAAAGCCGTTTGAGCTCCAAACTGTGGTTAAAAACCACACAAAATAACCACACCAAATCCATGCGGTTAATAACCGCAGCACAGAAAAAACAAAACCACACCGCAAAAATAACCGACTAACCGCACCGCAAAAATAACCGCACCAAACGGTTTTGAAAATGGATTAACCGCATTTGCGGTTAGTGGTGAGGTTTTGGCTAATAACTGCACCGAACCGCACCGAACCGCACCGCGCTCACCCCTAACTAAGGCTGTGTTTGGCGTGCCACAGCTAGCTGATAAGCTAGCTTATTTTTGAGTTTTTTTATGTTGTCGTGTTTGGTAAGCCAAAAAGTAGCTTATAAGCTAGCTTTTTGAAAAGCTACTTAGACTAGTTTTTTAGGAGTCTTTTTAAAATTTTCCAAATACATCCCTTAATTAATTATAGAAACACATACTTTTATATGTCCTTTTATGTAATTTTATATATTTCAGTTAGCTTTCAGCTAGTTTTACCAAACGTTATTTTTTATCAGCTAGCTTTTCAGCTATCAACTAGTTTTTTATTTAACAACTAACTTTTCAGTTAGTATGCCAAACATAACCTAAATGGTCTATATACACCAATTTTTTTTTTTTTTTTTTTTTTTTTTTTTTTTTTTTTTTTTGTAACGAAGCTGTAGTTATCCTTATATGAATTGGTTCATATCCGGACTCTTTGTAGCAAACCTAGTTGCAAAACTAAGTTATTTTAATGCAATGTAATCGGGTTTTTGGAATCATTTTTATAGTAATAAAACTATTCGACGATCGGTATCAGTGTATATTTAAAGGACAACTACGAGGTAAAAGACTTTTAAGATTTTGTTCGTTATGTGCTGCCAAAGGTGGTTATGTTATGCGTTGTTCGATGGCAATGCATAAGTGCACGTGGAAGAGAATTATGTGGAACTAATCAGGTGGAATTGGATCGGGTGGAAGCAATAATGAATTTTAATAATGTTCATCACCATATTTTTATATTATATGAACTTCATCCAATTCATATTCAGTGTTATCCACTACCAATTAACTCTCGGACTCGAGTTCTTCTTAAAACTAAGACACAAGTTCCATGACACGTATGTTAGATAAACTGCATTGATTGCGATGCACACGTTGCACTTCAAAATCCATCGACGTATATGGTGGTGGGGCGATTATTGTGATCATGACAACTTGGTGTGTGTGATACAAGGTCCATTCGCAAATATTTGTCATAATTCGCTAAATCTACGAACTAAAAATAGTTTGCCTAAGAACAAGTTTGACTAAATCGTAAGAAAGTTAAGGAAAATATAATCTAATGTCGGCAGTATAATGTAGATAGAATTGATTTATAATTTGTTTTCTGGAAAAATATAATCGCATAGTTCTAACTTCTAGTTCTACAAACATTCATAGTCGTATTTTCGCCACCGGATATGTTTAGAATTATTGATACAAAAACAGTTTTCCAAAGTAGAAAAGCTACCATACAAACCTAAGATGTAACAAATAATAATCTTGAAAAATAAATTTCACGAAATAGTTAGATCTTCGTGAAAGTGCGTTATTACCAAGAAGTTTTAAAATTATGAAAATTTTGGATAAATTTATACCCTATCCAAAAGTAAACACTTGCTAGAGAAGCTATGATGTTGGCCTTATTAGCACCTTTCATAAGTTTGTACCCCACCAACTTGACATATTATGTGACGAATTTAGGGCTTAGGATCATTACCTTATTGAGGTTTGAGCAATAAGAATTTGATACTTTAGTAGGCATCCTTAATCTACTTATATAATGTTAGTTAATATGAGTAGGACTAGATCGTATCATGCTTATAGTGTGAACCAAAGCCTATAAAGAATATGTGATCTGAAAGCATCTTACCAATTGATACTTTAGTAGGAATCCTTAATCTACTAATATAATGTTAGTTAATATGAGTAATCTAACAATTTTTTGTTGTACTTTTGAAAAAAGATAACCTCTATAATTTTTTTTCTTTCTAAAATAACCATTTTTTCTGGAATGAGCCATTCCGGAGTCCATTTTGGAGTAAGTAGCAGGGCCGTCCCATCAAAAAACCTCCGTAATTTCCATTCCAGACTAAAACGACTTATTTCAGAGTTCAATTTTGGAAATCATTTTCCAGATTATATTCCGACATATTATGGATCTTGATTTACAAATGATTTCCAACTCATTCTGGGCACAACTACACATTTCAGACTTCAGATATGGAACACGATCATGATGACCTCATTTATTTTACGAGTAAGTTCTTTGCTCTTACACTTGTAGTAGTTTGATTTAAAGATTGTTAGTAAGTTAGTTCGGAATACGAAGAACATATTCGGAATGTAAAGATAATGTTCCAGAGTTGCATTACATGTTGACATTACATTAGGAACAACACAAAACTAGATAAATTATGTGTATTAAGGTATTATACGTCATATATTAGTAATCCGAAACAAAAAAACGTTACAGAATGCTCCAAAATGCGATGATCTTGTCCGAAACACAAAGAACAGTCCAAAATGCAAAGAACTTGTCTGGATGTTAGTCGCTTTTCGTTCTAGAATACGATTTTAACTTGTTTTATATTTGCAGCACGACCATATTTTTGATGCATCAATTACACCGACTTGCAAACCCAATGTCGCCGTGGATATTCTTACAACACTCAAAGACAGACTGGCATGCGAGACAATGTTCCAGAATTCATGTTTTGGGAGGTGGTTAGATATTCCTGCGATAGATGAGGACTGTTTACTTATAAATTATGTGTTTTGCCACAAAGTTATCACATACCCTCGAAGCGAAGTAGAGGAAATAATTTTTGAGATTGGGGGTTATGGGTTGTCTTTTAGGAAGAAAGACGTTTGTCTTCTCACCGGCTTCCACTTTGGTGACTACTTTCCTACCTATGTTTTTGGCACTGCCTTTCAATCTCGTGTATTTCCTATTGTTCCAAGGAATGTCTCCATGAAATTAGACGATGTGGTTGATGTGTTTAAACATTCGCTTAATGAGTTATTGGACGAGGATGCGGTCCGTGTATGTCTTCTGTATTTGTTACAAAAGGGTTTCAATGGGTGGCCGCCTCATCAGCCTGAGACAGAGGAGTATTTTGCTTTGCTATCCAACTTTGATGAATTCAACAAGTATCATGTGGTTAATTTATAATTAAATTATCATTACTAATATTTTTTTTACAAATTTAATTGTGAAATTTTTATGTTGCAGATATCCATGGGGAGAATAATTTGGCATTAGTTGTACTCTCAACTATTAACTGTATTCAATAAGGTTGGGAGCCTTATACATCCAGTTGAAGAAAAACCGAAAAAAGTTCAAAAAACGACGTACACATTAAATGGATTTTTATACGCTTTTAAGGCTAAATGGTGTGATTGTTGTTTTGCCAATGGTAAAAGTGTGACACATTGGCGCCACATAGGATTTTACCATTTTTTTCCATAATCTGCCTATGAGTGGGGTGTGGTGATATTTTTACCAAAAATAGCAATTCTATACCCAAAACATGCAAACTAGTTACTAGGCTAAATTCTCAGATTTTGATCCAAAACAACAACCTGTTGAAGGCCACTTTAACACCACCAAAACCTGTAGAAATTACAATTTTGTTTCATGTTCCAGTAGTTTAGACTCTTAGCTTTTCAGAAAGTGCTCTCATAGGTCCTTACGATTTTTCAAGAATTTTATATGAATTTTACAAAACTGCATATCCGTGCAACTAATTTCAGAACAGTCAGTGAAAATGACAATTTTCACCTTGGTTAGAGACAAAATCAGGTCCTGGGAAAAATCAAGGACAAACTAGACTCAAAATTTAAACTTTGAGAGATTACGGATCC